AAAAAAATCCACGTATAAGCCGCGCCGGACTATAAGCCGCATGGTTCAAAGTTCAGGAAAAAAGTCGCGGCTTATAGTCCGAAAAATACGGTAGTCGCGATGTTTGTTTCGCACAATCTCATTCTCATAAAAAATATACMGGATCATCTTGGCCTGAATGTCTTTCACGTTACATTTGCAACTTTTTGTTGAAGGTTAAAACTCTTATATGTTATAAGGGATTAAGATCATGTCAAATGATGTTGTGGTTATGATCATTTGGCTGAGAGAAGAATGACACCTGCAGGTGAAGGAGCGCAACACAGAGCTCCTGGTTTGGCTTCTTGGTGCTTTAAGGAAACTCGAGATTTGTTCAAAGAGACAACTAAAACAAAATTAACGTTTTCAAGCATCTCAGTGTAAATGTGATGCAATTAAAACAGCGGTTTGAATTCCTAAGTTTGCTTAAATTTACTTTTTAAAATCTTTATCTAATAAATACATTCATTTAGTGTCAGACTATAGCAGTGCCAAAGCTCTATAGTTGAACTCAATTACATTTCAAGACAATCAAAAAAAAAAAAAAAACTAAATCATCAACAGAATCATTCATTTCCACTGAGTTGCTTTAAACGCACATTTTCCATTACAAACCTATTATTTTTGTTTTCTCTTCACTATTTTTCTTTGCCAACCAAGACATGTGACAACAGTTAAGATGCAACTTTCATTATTTACTGTTATCTACTTATGGCAGCTTATGATTGCGTTCACCATCTTCTCATCAAATGATGCAGTTATTCTGGAATCTGACTTTTTTTTTATCTAATGTCTCACACATTTGTCAAATCCCACGATCCATCTTTTGTTGTGGAACAAAGTCAGACATTTAATTTAAAACAGATCAGAAATAAAACATTTATTTTCTTTTTACTGTGATTCTTGTAAATAGAAATACCTTGTAGAGAATAAAACAACAACAGCAAAGAAAGGAAAACTGTTTCCATTGGTTGTRTTTAGTTTGCACTAATAACCTAGTTTTAGTTCATTTTATTCACAAATAATAAATGTTCCATTGCTGTCAGTCATGACATTATACATTTTTTCAACCACATATGGCCACAGTATAAAATAATCGTTTATTCTTGGTAACTGAAATGCTAAGGTTTTTTTTTCTAGTATTTATTCATCTCATTTTAAAAAAGAAAACACAACACATTACATACAACAAAACAATACAAATCAAATAAAATGAAAGGCAGCAGAAGAAGAATAAAAATCTAATATCTGCTCCTATTTACAAAAATATATATTAATTTCAAACAATAATAAACCAAATAATAAAACAAAACAAAAAAATTCAACTCCGCAAACAGTAACTCATACAAATACAAATTAAAAAATTTCTTATTTATTTAACAATTTTGCTATGATCATTTTTTAAAGGAATTAACTGATCCAATGCTTTTATAATCATTATCCAGATTAGGTTCCAGTGGTGCGCAATCCTGGTCCTGCACGATCAGGGGTCTCCAACCAGTAACTCGTGAGCTCATTTAAAGTAGCTCTTC